TTTGAACCCAGGACCTCTCGCACCCTAAGCGAGAATCATACCCCTAGACCAACTAGCCATGGAAAGTGGTTTATTTGGTGTGCAAAGTGGAAAGAAAACTACAGATGCAACAAGGGTGGAAAATTTTGGTGTTTAAACTACAGATGCAAAACATATGGAAAATTTAGTTGTTGAACCATTATGAAAGCTGGGCTCGTCCAGGATTTGAACCCGGGACCTCTCGCACCCGAAGCGAGAATCATACCCCTAGACCAACGAGCCATGGAATGTCGGTTTTATTTGGTGTGCAAAGTGAAAAGAAAACTACAGATGCAACAAGGGTTGAAAATTTAGGTGTTGAACCATAATAAAAGCTGGGCTCGTCCAGGATTTGAACCCGGGACCTCTCGCATTCAAAGTGAGAATCATACCCCTAGACCAACGAGCCATGAAACATTGGTTTTATTTAGTGTGCAAAGTGAAAACAAAACTAAAGAGGACACGAGGGTGGAAAATTTAGGTGTTGAACCATAATGAAAGCTGGGCTCGTCCGGGATTTGAACCCGAGACCTTTCGCACCCGAAGCAAAAATCATACCCCTAGACCAACGAGCTATGGAACAACGATTTTCTTTTGGTGTGCAAAGTGGAAACAAAACTAGAGATGCAACAAAGTTGGAAAATTTAGGTGTTGAACCATAATTTAAGCTGGACACTTCCAGGATTTGAACCCGGGACCTCTCGCACCCGAAGCAAGAATGATACCACTTGCCATGGTGCGTGGGTTTTGTTTGGTGTGCAATGTGGAAACAAAACTACAGATGCAACAGATGTGGAAAATTTAACAATAGATAAAGCTAGGCTCATCCTGGATTTGAACCTGGGACCTCTCACACCCAAAGCGAGAATCATAACCCTAGACCAACGAGCCATGGAACATTGGTTTCATTTGGTGTCCAAAGTGGAAACAAAAATACAGATGCAGCAAGAGTGGAAAATTTAGGTGTTGAACCATGATTAAAGCTGGGCTCTTCCAGGATTTGAACCATGGACCTCCCGCACCCAAATCGAGAATCATATCCCTTGACAATTTATTTGGTGTGCCAAATGGAAACAAAACAACAGATGAAAAACCCATGGAAAATATAGGTGTTGAACCACAATTAAAGCTGCGTTCGTCCAGGATTTGAACCCGCGACCTCTCGCACCCTAAGCGAGAATCATACCCCTAGACCAACAAGCCATGGAATGTGGGGTTTATTTGGTGTGCCAAATGAAAACAAAACTACAGATGCAAAACATATGGAAAATATAGGTATTGCATCATTATTAAAGCTGGGCTCGTCCGGGATTTGATCCCGGGACCTCTCGCACCCTAAGCGAGAATCATACCCCTAGACCAACGAGCCATGGAATGTGGTTTTATTTGGTGTCCAAAGTGGAAACAAAATTACAGATGCAGCAAGAGTGGAAAATTTAGGTGTTGAACCATGATTAAAGCTGGGCTCTTCCAGGATTTGAACCATGGACCTCCCGCACCCAAATCGAGAATCATATCCCTTGACAATTTATTTGGTGTGCCAAATGGAAACAAAACAACAGATGAAAAACCCATGGAAAATATAGGTGTTGAACCACAATTAAAGCTGCGTTCGTCCAGGATTTGAACCCGCGACCTCTCGCACCCTAAGCGAGAATCATACCCCTAGACCAACAAGCCATGGAATGTGGGGTTTATTTGGTGTGCCAAATG